GGGGGGGTGGGGGTGGAGGGCGGGAATAGCCATTGCTTCAAGTGATTCAAATGAATAAGAAACAAGAGATGTGGCTTACAGCTCCATCTCCAAATCCCCATGCAGAAGGGCAAGTCAGAGGTAAAAAGCAGCTTTCCTGTGTGTGACACAGCACTCATTGGAAGCCAGCCCTTGGTTAATATCCCTCATGAGCACAGAGAATGTTATTTGAAGGAAGCTTGTTACCTTCCCACCACCCTGCTGCTGCCAGCGGGTGTCTGAGCCCAGGCCAGCCGAGGAGAAAACTACACAACCAGAGGAAAGCTGAAGAGCAGAAGGAAGGAAAAAACCTATTAACAACCAGCATGGTTACTCTGCAATGATCAGACTCAACCCAGACCTCCTGTTGTATTCAGGAAACTGTATTTGTTTAACTGGCACTGTTAGCGGGGTCCAAGCCTGGATCTATAGCCCGGGAACTCTGTTTAAAAGAGGCAGAATATACACCTTAGAGACAAAGAGAGAGAAAACATAATAGTAAAGCCCAAACAAAAAGAAATGAAGATTTAGGTCAACACAAACCGCTGGAGGAAACTTGCTCTGCTGGAGTCACTCTGCTTTCATCACAAAATTCTGCTGTTTCCCAGGCTGATGCTCTCTGCTCTCACCAAAAGTCAAGCGATGTCACTGAGTGCTCCACACAAGCAGAGTTAAGAAATGAGGAGAGAGCCAAGGAAGGAGAAGAGGGCTAAAATACAAAGCAGAAGAAGCTGCAGTGTTTTGACATGCAGCTCTGAAGCTGCTTCCAGCAGCAAAACAACTAATTATAATAATTCTGTAAAGGAGTATCGGACTGTTCCTTCAGCAGTAAAACACCAGCTTTTAAAGGCTACTTAACAAAATGATTTATAAGAAGCATTCTTTTTTGTTGTTTTCTGCACCTTGCTGTTAGTTGTGCTAAATGCACAAGCCAGAGGGATTACTGGATTAAAGCCCTGAGGTGTCCCCACTGGTAATAAAAACCCCTCATTTACTCTGTCAGGGGATCTTGCCAACCATTATTATCCTGGCCTGACACCATGAATTACTGTGGGAAGTCATCCAGCCTCATCTCATTTCCCTAAGATGTTAAAAAGGTTATAGGTCTTGATATGTAGGTAGAGAATGTACAGTAAATCTACAGCAGTAATGTTAACCAAATGCTTGAGTTACTGGCTGCGGTTGCTACTTGTTTCATGGACTATGACTGCTATTTTGTATGATTAGTATGCTGCAGCACTTCTTAAAATAGCTGAGAAATGTCACACATAATTCTTACACAAATGGAAGAGGTTAGAACGCACCAAGAGCCAAAGAGTGGAAAATTTAGCATGAAATCCGCAGTTTCTATGATAATGCTCTGCCTGTGTGAAATTAATTACAAGACATGTGTCACACAGCTGTTAAATAACAAAGCTCAATTGGTTTGTTGAAGTTTTGCTGGCTACTTAATCAAATGCGTTTTTTCCTCCATTGCACTAATTGCACTTGCTTTTAATTCACCCCAACAGAGCATGGTGTAAGAGCCTGTTATTACCCACAGCTAGGTACGTTAATTACCTTGCTGGACACAGCTGAAGCCAGTCCTCCATTGCCAGTGAACATTTTAGTGTGAACTATCAGGGGTGCATGGCAGTTCCAAAACCCAGTCTTAGCCCAAGACAAGAGCAGGAGAAAGCGTTTCAGTGACAGGCACAATAGGTACAATGGGCTAGATTCATTCTTGGTGCAACGCCTTTTACTATGGTCTGACCATAGTTGGGATGAACTCTGTACAATATGAAGAAATTATTCGTGATGGATCTTTAAGTTCTCATGCAGTATTCTTAGCAATAGTATGTACACCATGCAAATATTTAGAGTAGGTGTGTCGTAAGTCTTAGGCACTTAAGGGCAAGCAGAGGCACAGCAGCCTCTGCCATAGGATGAAGTACCTCAAGTACAGATCTCACTTCCCAACAAGCTCATGGTAATATCGTTGTGGATAGATAGCAAATGGCATTGTCCATCCAACAGCAATTGCCAAAGTGGAAGGTCTGTTTCCTTCCCCAGCTTTCAAGTGTCAAACCAGCACGCCCCGCCTCACACCCTAGCCAGCCTGAGCAGAGGATTTGGCCCAGGTTATCAGCTTGCTGCTGAGACTCCTAACTGCAAGACTGTGATGTGAGAGGATCCCAGCAGCGCTGGCCACATTTCAAAGGGTTTTCAAAATAAAGATTAGCAGAGGGCACATACATCCAAAGAGTGCTTGTCACAGTTCATAACTTCCCAGCGCTGAAACTCTCGATTGGATTTAGCCCCACTGTTCTCCTCCAATTGCTTCTGGTTAAGGCAGTGTTACAGGACCTGTAACATCTTATGTCTGTGCATGCACACAGGTAACTAGTGGTTTGTATAGACCTGTGTGCAAGAAAGGACAAACCTTGCTCCAAGAAACTGAACTCTTCCCTCTATCTAGTTTTTGATGAACTCTCTTCCTGCCCTTTCAAAGCTGGTGCCTCCAAAGTAGCTGTCTGACTCTCCATCCAGATGATGGCATGTAAGATTACTATATACAGATTGAGGAATTTTGAGACAGTCTTCTGTACCTGCTGTGCCTGAGCACAGCACCACGGCGCAGGAGAACAGAAGGGGTGACCTGGATACCAATTTCCAGATGTACCAAGAACATGCACGTCCACCTGGAACTACACTGAGCCTGCAAAGCTCTAGCATCTTTGACCGGAAGGTGACTTTACAATATATCTGTAGGCAGGCAAGTCCGAAAATATTGGCTGTACCTCTTTCATCCTCACCTGCATTTACTTTTTATTGACTGGGGCTGTACAAAGAAGTGCACAGTAGGACTCGTTTAAAAAGCAAGTGGTATAAGAAATAATCTTAGTTCTTCAAAGAAACCGCAAAAGTCATAAATATCACTTATATCCACCTGCCCAGTCTTTCAATTCAAACCACTTGTGCGGTTCGGTATCTGCTGGAACACTCTGCCTGCTCTAGGATGGGACGCCTTTGCTCTTGATGCTGTAGCCCCATGCAATAACCATGGCAGGGCTTGTTGGTGCTTTTTTTTGTTACTTTCTGGCATATGATATTTGGCATACAGCATATTCATGACAGAATGTTAGACCGAGGTGCAAATGCAGATCTAATCTTTTCATCTCTTTTCTTCACATATAAGAAAGCCTGACGGGAGATTCAGTAGAGGCTAGGAAGAAATTCCTCCCGTTTGCATGGCATATCGCATTGGCTGGATGCATTATACAGAGAGAAGTTTTCTTCTGAGGCAACGTTGCCGAAGGCAGGTTACTGGGCTTGATAGATTAAAGACATGAACCAAAACAACAACGCTATGTTCTCATGTTAATCGTCAGGCTGTTCTCATGCCTGTAGTTTTAAATTTGGCTGAACTGAGGATCAGTTGAACAGGGCTTGTTTTGTCACATGATTTTTAGTGTTCGCAGTAAGCTGTTAACAAGCTCTGGCAGATTTACGGTCACTAGACATACTTCTGCAAACACACTGTTTACAATTACAGTGAATTCACAGGGCAATGACCACAGAGGGATTGCTCACTATATCTGGATGTAACGTACATTACCATAAAGTCATAAGAGAGCATTCCTGTGTTAGGGTCTCGCGACAGGTTCCCGCTGAAAGTAGTGGCTAGCTGAATCAGTGAACCTCAAACTGGAGGCATGGGACTGGTGACTTCACCCATCCAGGGTTCCATATGTGGTCTCAAGGAACTATAACAATATATTCTCTAAAATTACAGCAATAGTATTTCATAACTGCTAGAAAGATGAACTTGCACTTTTATGTTTAAATACAATGAAAAATAGCTATGCGCTAACATCCTCAGATTTTGTTTTGATATTTTAAGATATTTCCAGGTATTTATGTACAATATGGATTTTAATCTTTTTTTTAAAGATTCTACATTCAAAAGGGTCAAAATAAATTAGTAATCAGTAATAAATTAGAAGCAGTGCTAAATATTAGCAATCTCAGTGTTTTGAGAAAAATATTGTTAAAATGTACAAATTTCACAGCAGGACAGAGCTGGCAAAAACAGCATAAAGAAAGAAGTAGAGGTGAGCTCCTAAATAAATTGCTAAAACAATACCCATCATCAAAAAGTGTCTGTTCCCATCTTTTGAAAGCCTGCCCCATCATCTTGTACTGAAAACTTCACCTCTCAATAAAAAATAGAACCCATTCTCAGGGCTGCAAATTCTCTTTCAAGTAGGAAATTCCCCTGAAAACTATTGCAATGCTACTGCTACTTTGGTAAGCCAAATAAAAGACAGAGAAGTCCACTTAAAAGCAGCAGCTTCATTATAATTTGCGATTTTACATCTGTTTTGTGGCTGATACTGTAGCTGCTAAAACAAAGTGACTTGGCAGGTGAAAATTATTTTTAAAAAAATATCATATTTTATTACTCAAAATACTAAATAAGTGCATAAGCATACAAAACCTTGAAATAATCAAAGCAGGAGCTGCAAGGCATTAATTATGAAATTTTCTTAGCATCTCCTGGACTGTGCTAAAGATAAGAAAAAGGAGTGTATATTTAACCTGCCAGCTATCATAAATCGCTGTAAACTAATATTAGTACTTACTTAGTTCCATCAATTATCTCTGAAGAGCAGCTCCAGGATTCTGACCTGTTGCAAACATGGCATCATAGACCAGTTTATTTACACATTGCTAAATCTTAAAAAAAAAATTGAGCAACGAAACATAGCTAAACAGACAGCTTTCCAATGAATTCAATTAACTGTGCAGCATTAAATGGACTCTTCTGAGGTCATTAAGTTACTAGTCACTTCTGTATTATATAAATATGATAGTAGCATGGTTTGAATAATCTGAAAATTAGTTCATTCTGTTCCCATGTTCAAGCTAACATAAAAAGCTGTTATTCTACCTATTCTTGTGAATAACAGCTGGTTTATTCTTTTGTAAATTCTCCCAAGCCTTGAAAAAACTAGCCTTGCAATGAACATTGAGGAGGAAATACCTTTTAAAAATAGGAAATTACTTTAAAAAAGAAAAAGATAAGGTGAATATTGTACTTTTAAGTTTGGGGTTTGCTTGTTTTCTTTGCTTTTGAAGGTACAAACTGTGAGCTGGAAATAGATGAGTGCTCATCACAGCCATGCCTGAACGGTGCGACCTGCCGGGATTCCCTGGGGAGCTTTGCCTGCTCCTGCACGCCAGGCTTCCTTGGAGACCTCTGCGAAACCAACATCGATGAGTGCGTCAGCCAGCCGTGCCTCAATGGGGGACTGTGCTCAGACGATGCCAATGGGTACGTCTTCTACAGCTGGGTAATGCTAATGTGAGGTGCTATTAGCTCCTTTGTTTGCAGACGGGAATGCTACGAGAGCCTGCAATGCTAGGTACCTGATTTAATTTCAAATTGTGGATTTCACTCCTTGATCCTGCACTGATTTCACTTTAAATTTGAAAAGAATTAAAGAATGCAAGTCTGGTGTCAGAGCCTGCAGGACAACAAAACATTTATGGCAAAGACTGATCCAGTGGTATGTCTTTCATATTTGTGCTTTTACTTTAAATATTTACAACATGGTGTTTGTCTGGCCCTGAGGACTGTCATTTACAGATGAATTCTGTTTCTAATGCTCATCAAACTTTAGTTTCCAAGAGAGATGTGAGAGAGTATAAAATTGAATTTGCCAACAGCAGCTGCCCACACTGACAGACAGAAGCACTAGAAAAGAGAGGCAGAGGAAAATTGTAATAATAGTAACCATAGTAATAGATACCATTAGGAAATGTGCCAGGAACTTTAAAGGCATATAAAGAAAAAAAAAATAGAATATAGAAAAATAAGTTTCTCCACCTGATATTAATAGTCCTACACAGAGGTCCAAGCGCAGCCCAGGCAGCCAGAGCTCTGGCATTCATTCACCAATACTGGCTTTTCATACTCAGCGTGAGATTCCCAAAACTGAAAATGTATATGTATAAGTTCAAGTCTACGTTACAGAAAAAAAAAAAAAGTTCATGAGTGTATTCATGCAGGTGTTCCCCTTGCCAGTATAAGATTTGTCCTCTACTGTGTGTTTTCCACTTTTTATAAAGCAGTTTTGAAGATTTCAGTGCTGCAAACATCAACCCCAAAATAATGTCAGCAAAAGGCATGCTTTCCTTGAATGAGAGGGGGAAGAGATCATGTTCTGGAAATGAGCTTTTGTACAGTGTGATGACATGGCACCGACCTTGTGGAGCTCCTTTTCAGCAGCACTGAATGACTCTGAACAGGACAAAGCAATTTACTATTTTCCAGTGTAGCCAAAGCTGACAGCAGGGAGAGGGAGGTCATCGTGCACCCAACTAGTTCACAGCAGACCCACTTAACAACCTGCAAGCCTTTTGAGGTTACATGCATGAGGTGAGCAACCGGGATGCTCATCCAGACTTAATCCTACTCATTTTTCTCCTAGCTTTTAAAGCTGACGTACATGTAAGAGTAATTTTAATTGGCTTGTAATGCTGCAGGTTATCTGGAGAACTATCGGAGCTTTTTCCACATTTGTTACATGATGAAAAGGGTTGGACAACAAAGCAATTCAAAACAGAAGGGTGCCTAGCAATTTCATTCCTTTTGTGTATTTTTCAGGTTAAATGAAGAACTGTAGTCTTTAAACAGTAGTTTTCCTTTTCTGACTAATGCTACAATACAGCTGAGGCTTTTGTGTGTGCCACCAGCTCTCACAGAAATGTGCGAGGTGACAGATTTAACATTTAAAGCTGTAAATACAAACACTAAAACAAATTCTCTCCCAAATTTCAGACTGATTCTTCCAGTGAGGTTTCATGAATGCAACAAAATAAAACTTGTTCTCTTAAAAAAGCAGTTTCACATTGTTGCACATTTCTTACTTAAATTCAACAATTTATGGCGGTGCCTTAGTTGGACCTACAAAACCTGGTGTGCGTAGGCACAGAGGATACCTCTGCATGCTCCAAGACTTTTTTCCATAGGAAATATTCCCAGGACCTTCAGTGCTCTTTTGATTGCATAGGAAAGAATATCTGCACATATTGCTTTCTGCATATTGTGAGAACATCAAACAAGAACCCCCAAAAATATGTTAGGTAGAGTACCTAAGAGTATCACTCTTAGTTGAAAGAGTCATCTGCTTGCTCAGTCACAGCCTGCCCACAAGCAGGGTACCTTCCAGAACCCCTGAAGGTTGACAGCAACATCAAACACTTAAAAATACCTGAGAAAAAAGGCACACAAGTGGGGCTTCACATTAAGCAGCAAGTTGTGAATATTCCTCACTCCTCCTTCATTCTGGACCAAAAGGAAAAAGGAGAGTGGACTAAGGCAGAAAAAATCTTTCACCACAAAGCTGAACAGCAACAAACTGAAGGCACATGGAGGAAATGTGTGAAAAATACAGCAAAAGAAAGAGACTTCTGTTTTGAGAACATACCTCAGAAGGAAAATTATTTTTCCGATTTACATCTTCCTCATTACTTTTTATATCCTAAATTCAAATGCCACCTGGTCTAAGTCACCTCTGATTTTGATTTAAGAATAATCCATACACTAGTAATAAACTGGCCTGCCAGAAGTTTCTGCTTATGTACACTTAAATAGTGTAGTAAAAAGTTTACGCTTTTTGGTTTGTTAGACTGCAGGAGCCAGTTGTTCTCTGATGCTCCCTTAAGCTCAACAATTTCGCTTTCCCTCCATATACTTACTCCAAGTCTAAGGCTTAGATATTAAGCACAGAAATTATGAAATACCTATACTTATGTCTTGTTCAGCAAGATTCCCCATGATTTCAGTTGTACAATAACCAGTGTATCATTTTAATGTAAAATAAAACAATATAAATTTTTGTTTCTGATAATTATTATTAGACAAAGATCATCCAAGCATGCACATTTAACATATTTATCTTGCAAAGGCCTGTCTTTTCTTATGATGTGTACAAGTTGACCTTGTACCTTATGACCTAAGCATAGGAGTTATGTATTTTATAATAATAATTAGCTCACCTGAAAAAAAACACAAACAAAAAACCCCAAATGTTACTGATTACCTGCACATTGTTCATTATATATACTAGTTTGTTTGCTTCTAAACCCATAATAGCAATATTTTTATCAAAATGAAGCTTGTATTACTGTTATTATTGGAACTGTGCAAGCAATTGACATTTTTATACTAACCTAACAACAAAAAATATTGTTTTTCACCAAAGAGAAAATATCACTTTGTCGAGGAACAGAAATTGCCTTATTTTTTGGCCAATTCAATTTCTACCAGTCCAAGAGAAAGGGATACTAACACACTGCCTCTCTCCTTTTCATTTTCTGAATAATGTTAAACCTACAAAAATTGCATTGGAAATGACAGAAGCTTTTTTCCCCCCTAAATTAAAAAAAGAAGAAAAAGAAAATCAATAATTCTTAGAAGAAATGATCTGTCAAAACCAATTTGAATTCACAAGCAGGTTTTTTCCCCAGCAAAACCCACATATTTCAGGAAAAACCTCATTGTTGGTTCCCAATGGCTGCGGTTTCTCCAGAGCACCAGATGGTGGTCTTGAGCCTGGACTCAACTGTGGAAGCTGCTAGCCAAGGCTACACAAGAAGTCTGTATAGGTTTGGGAACAAAGCCCAGATCTCCTGACTTCCAGCTAAAGTGAACATTGCATTCCGTGTTGCAGGTACAGCTGCAACTGTACCAGTACTGGATATATGGGCGTACACTGTGAGACCCTGTCTCCCTTATGTTGGTCGCAACCGTGTTACAATAACGGCACTTGTGAGGACAACGCTGACAATTACACGTGCCACTGTTGGCCAGGTAAGGTCTACGTTCTCCTGTAAACACTCTCTTTCCTTGTGTAGTAGGTATGTCCTCATTTTTTTGCTGATACAATAAAAGGTTTAAGCTATATAACTTAAAAGTACTCTGTGAGCTTGTGTTTAGATGGGCTTCACTCCTCATCATGAGTCAGATGGATATCCATGAGCCCTATGGATAAGTTGCTCTTTTCCAGCTAAGAATTTCCCTGAACAGCAGAAGTTGCCAAAACCAAAAGTGCCAGTATTATGGAGTAAAGACAGGAGATAAGTCAAAGTTGGGATCCATCTTCCAGTTGCTTAATCCTTCAACCCATGGAATACATAAATTAATCACTGCTGCAGCTGACCCTATTTTACTCTTCACTAACATGACCTTTAAATAAGTCTAAAAACTTACTTTTCAATGCAAAATATTGTCTGTTTATAAATACAAATTAGACTAGGTGTTACATTGGAAAACTGGCCTCCTTCATATCACCAATGCCAGTTCTTCTATCTAGCAGCATGCAATGAAACACACTGGGCTGTGTTCTGCTCTACCAGCAACGCTTATATATCCAGCCATTTACAATAAGGCTCCCAGAACCCCAGTGGGGACACAGTGTTCTTCGAGAGACTTTGTGAATCTTTCAGCACATGGCCTAACTACAAGAAGTGTCTCTAGAAAGTTTAACATCTGTGTCCTTACTGAGGACACAAGAGCACAGCGCACTGCGAGGAGTACATGCCACAGGGTTGTTGGACCACACAGTTCTTGGTGCATTAGAAATGGAAAGATTAGACAGAGTCCTTAGTGTTTTCCAGAAATCAGGGAGTTTTGTGGCACTTCAAACTCCAGGTAAAGCACTTTATGAGCACCAAATAATTTATATTCCCTGCCCTCCTCTGTCGTAGGGAGGTGATGCAAAAGGAAAACTTCACACAACCTGAGAGCGTACCTACACCACAATGCAGCACCTTGTTATCCACGCAGATCTCCACCTTACTTCCTCAAAAATACCATAAGTACCACAAAGCTCAGCTAGCTAACACAGAATAGCCATAGCAATATCCTGCTTCTGGGCCATGACAGAGAGCTGCAAGGAAACGTTCACACCTTCAAGAAGCAGAGGAAATATTTTAGCACATGACAGAGTCTGAAACCAAGTGCATCTAATATTCACAATAATATTTTCAGGCCTGGAATGAATGGATAGCATATCGATTAAACACCTTCTCCGCATGGCTCTCCGCAGGCTATGCGGGTTCCCGCTGCGAGGAGGACATCGGGGAGTGCAGCAGCAGCCCCTGCCTCTCCGGAGGTGACTGCGTGGAGCGATCCTGGGCCGGCCGCTACGGCAGTGTCCCAGGCCTGCCACCGGCCTTCAGCTACGACAAGGCCGAGGGCTATATCTGTAGCTGTAAGCCAGGCTTTACCGGTAAGATTCCTTTGGTGAAAGCTTAGGAAATGATGTACTGCAGTATCCTGTTGTTTAGGCCTAGCTGTAAATAAATCTTTAACGTGTTAGGTGTTTTAAGGTGCCATAGTGCAAAGGGTCCCTCTGCTGGTCACCATACACCTTTTCAGTAGAGATTTGTATGGAATAAAGGGAGTTGGTCGCGCAAGTTGTGAACGTAGCAATAGAGCAGCAGGCTCCGGGTACGGCCCCTAAGGCAGCCCAGGCAGCAGGAGAGAGAAGTGGTCTCTTCCACGATCTTGTCTGCAAAGCTTCTCCATTCATAACTGCATTTGCTTGAATTATGCCATAAACTTCAGTCAGTGGGTGTTTTATCATGAGTTCGAAATTCACTGTGCACAGGTATTATATTACATGTACGAAAACAATCAGTAATAAATAAGAGAGTGTTTTCATAAAACAACCATAAAACAAAACTCTCAAGCTTTCAGTGTTTCTGTCCGCATCTAATTCTACACAGCAACACTGGGGACTGGCAGGAACACTTCATCTGAGCACAAGACAACATTTTGTATAAATTCAGCAGTGTAGCATGTTGGTGATATTCTACAGCTTAAATGAAAAATAATTTCAAGTTGTGTGCGTAGCCATGTTCTTAAGGGAAAAAAACCTATCGAAATTACAGATACCCATAATCCTAAGAAAGAAGTTGTATTGAGACTTGCATTTAACACAGCCTACGCTATTTAGCACAGCCACAAACAAGTTGGGTTTGGATTGTACACTTTTGGGTTTACCGTATTTTTCTGTCAACTCCATTCCCTTTTTCCTTCTGAAGGAAAAAATACTTAATAGCTAGATTAATTTAACCAGTCTTCAATTTCTCATTCCATTCATCTCCTGAGCAGCTTACAAACTTTCCTCTGTCTCCCAGTGGGTTGCATGACTGACATCTCCAACATAGCAGATACAAAAGTACATGGAGAGCACAGCTTTCACTCTGAATTCCCAATTTATTTTTCTTCAAAGTGGCATTGAGACTTACTTGCTTTTGTTCCATCCCTTCCCCTTAACTGTCCTTCCCTATCCTGTCACTAAGTGTTGCTGTTGTACTTTTGTTCTGCCTAAGAGAGTATAATATGAGGCTTCTACTAAGGCTTGCGATATCCCCCAGGCTGTCCTAAGCACCCTTACCTCTTCACGTGCCACTCCTTTCTCTTCACTTCCTTCTAGTGACGTCCAGCTCTCAAGGTTTTTTTTTCCTCCCCTCTTGCCCTGATTTAAAAACTCCTGTGCTCTGTCAGACAAACCAGAAGGTGTTTCCTTGTTTAATCATCATCCTTTATCCTCCCACTTCCATATCAATTGCCTTCACCTGGCTTGTTTGCCCAGTTTGGTTCATGATTCTGCTGGTTTCATTCACACGGAGAACTCTTACTCCCCCAGGAGTCAGTGGACCCACGTACAGGCAGATTCTACTCAGTCTGAAAACAGTGTCAGAATCTATTTAAATTAATTAATCTAAATAATTTTTTCAATAGGTAAGCTCCTAAATCACAATATAGGACTCTCCAAAGCAAGACTAAGAGAATTCTTGGAGACCCTAAAATTTCTGCTGACTTCATATGCAAATTACATTACATTTTTTAAAACCTCATGTAAGTTTAGTTATCCTCATACCTGTTGGATACTATATATAACTTTCATTAGAAAAAAAACCAAAGTAGTTATTCTTACCAAACAGTGTGCCCAGGCAGCTGGCGGCAGGAAGAACATAACCTTTAACAGGGATGGCTGTAAAAGCTGCATGTGAAATGTCATTCAGTAACACGCTGCAAAATAATGGCAAAACAAGGTTAATCTTGCTACTCTTGTCAGCTCCTTCCCTGCCTTTGTTTTTCAGCAGGGCCTAAATTTTAAACTCTTTTCTTGCTGGCCTGTGTGAGATACAATGCAGTCAAGCAATTTACATATTAATAGAGAAAAACGCAGGATTGCTCTAACTGGCACTTAGCATCCTAGGCTCCCAAGCTTTGATCCAACAGCCCTTAGGTACAAAGCAGCCAACCTCCCCAGTCCTCCCAGTAGCAGTGCACATTTCTCTCAGGCCCTCCTCCTTCCCCCAGGTAATCTGGAAGTAGAAAGTGCTCAAAATGAGCCTAAGCCTCTTTGTGTGTCAGAAGCGTTGACACAAAAAGCCCATAAGGTGGAGTGGAAACATTCACTTCTGATGGTGATAAGTAATTTCTCTAATTATAGTCAAATTCATAATAAATAAACCACATGTTTTAATGGGAATTAAGGAAGATTTAGAATTAGAGTTGATAGCAGTAGTATGATTCAATGTAGCAGAAGAATCCCTGATCAGCATCACTCAGTATATGGGTGCTTATCTAATGTATATGAACTAACAGTCAACTGGAAAAAAGGTCAGATTTCTTCATCTGGGTATCGGTACATCTCACTGACAGCTGAAGTCCTACATTTCTGCAGCTGTAGGTCAGGAGTTCTTCCAGCCTTAACACCTGAATAGTTGTATGTGCTTTAGATATAAAACTTCAGATTCCTATTGAAACAGGGCAAAGATTTTCATTAATAAATTACATTCAATATTTTATTATACCTCTTTCCTCAGTAAAGCACTTGCAGAACATTATAATCATACTTCACTGTCTGCAGTAATATGAAGAAATAATAATCCACATACCCTGCATTGTGAGGGCCTGATCCAAAAGCCCTTGAAATCAATGGAAAGAATTTGAGGACAGTTGCAAATTTTGTAACAAGCATAAAATGACATCTTTGAACTCACTGGTTAAGATTGCAAACAAATTACTGTAATTCAACTGAAAAACTGAGAATATCTACCTTTTGGACTACAGTTTTTAGCCCCAAGGGCAGGAGATAATGGAGCCTAAACTCATGCCTATGTCAGGATAGAATATCTCCCCACCCAGCCGGGAGAAAGGAACAAGTATTATCTGGCAGTATCTTGTTAGAGATGGTGATTGTTCAGGTGACTTGAAAAATAGTCGGTAGTCCTACTAAAAGTCTTGGAAGGAAAAAATCTGCAAACAACATTATTTACACAATTTGATTCTTAAAAATGAAAAATAAAAATCCAAGTCTGGAGACTTTATCCCAGCTGGGAACTCTTTGAGGCCATTGGATGTATGCCTTATCCTAGATCCAAGACAGAAAATTCCTGCACAGGTTCTACAAAGGGTTAAAATTTCTCCAGCTCCCTTTTAAATCAAAGGGTTCAGGGATACTCAGATTTCAAGAGATCTCAATAGTTCTGCAGTAGCAAGGCCTAGATTTTTTATATTACCTTGGTGTGCTGGGTCCCTAGCACAACAGTACTTTCAATAGATTGGGCTTTCTTTTAAAGGGCTTGTGATTTGTTACTGCTAGCAAAAGGGAATAGTTACCCTAGAACTGTGTCCTTTCATATCGTGGATTTATTGTATTGCTCTAGCACTGCACATTTCTTAAAAAGACTGTTACTTAAAAAGTTAAACTTTTCACTTTCCTCATGAAAACATGTGGGAAAGGAGGAAGGCAAAGCTATGGATTTGGTAGTGACTCATTTCACCAGGTTGTAATAAACTTAACACCATGTCAAAATTAAAGAGCCTCTGAACTTGCAAGGTCTATCAAGTGACACATTCCAGTGTTGAACTGAGCCTGAGGAGGGGGTGAGTGTTTGCGAGGCTCCCCATGCCTTGAAAGCAGTGCTGCCCATGGTCCCCAGATGGATGGGACAGTGCTGCTAGCAAGGTTGAAGACCATCCGTTTTGCTTCAGCAGAATGAGTGTAAGAGGAGCAGAGCCCACTAATCCGTTTGTAGGCAGGGTGCCTGATGCCTGCTGATGTGCAGATGAGCGCTGGCTGCTGGGGACCTTACCAATTCTGGTGTCTTGTTATCAGCTATGTGCCAGTTGTGCCAGCAGCGCTGCTGCTTGCTTTGGCATCACAAATTCCTAAGTGGTTTTTGGCCCTTTTGTTTATATTTGTCTTGTTTTCTGTTTTTCCCTTTTAAGTCTCCTTGGCCCTTTTCCCAGTCTGTTGGACTGCTGCAAGAGAAAATGATATGATCAGACTGGTGTCGTATGCATATTGAATTCCTGGCATATGCATGGGGGAAAGAAACTGTCTCCTGGAGCCAGAAGATGAGGCAGATAAATGGCCAGTATGGGAGAGTACTGAAACTAACTAAAGAAAACCTCAACCCAGATACTGAACTCTGAACATCATGGGACCAGTGCTTAAAAACTGAATCATTTGGACTCTCACTCTGCACTTAAACCAGGGTGAAAGAAACACAGAAGCACACAGGGCATCAGCCTTCCATTTCCGTGCACATCTTTAGGTGCTGCTATAGGCAGACCAGCCAGCAGACGATAGGGTAGACTATGTCTCAGACAGATGTACTCCTCTCCCCTGGCCTGTCACAGTATTATACAGACATAAATATTATTTATGAGTAATGGGTAGGATAGTAGGCACATTATCACTAACTTGGGAAGCTTAAAATACATACCTATATTTTTGGTTTCTTTATTTTTTAAATCCCCTTCTTAGCCATTAGTACAATGAAGCTGCCATCTTTCTTAGATATATAAAGCAATGTGAGTCTGACAAAAATGAAATCAAGCAGATGAATAGCAGAGTTCTCATCTTGTCCCCAAACTCCAAATTTTACTTTTTTCTTTATTTCCTCATCTGTCCTTCAGCTGTTCACACCACAGTAGTCAATCATTCGTCCATTACACCAGGTTAATTCACTTTATTTCATGGCCCATCATCACAGTTTAAAAGGTTATTTTCTCTTGATTCTGATACCTTAGAAAAAGACGAGACTGTTCCAGGAAAGAATGAGGATAAAAAAGGAAGATATACAGAGAGAAAAGACGATTTTTAAATTAAGAATGTGTCAAGGGCACCTCTCATCTTTTTAGTGGGACTCGGGCTTCTCCCGCAAGCAAGGCAAGAACTCAAGTTCAAAATTAACAGGTCTG